TTTTGCCACAGAGTACATCAGAAAAGTATTAAACCAGAAAGTTCAAACCTTTTTTCTTACCGATGGTGCGAAATATGCCTAGAGCTTGCTTCAAACCCTAGGTCTATGGCTTCTAAAGCAAGCGCACTAACCACTGCGCAGCGATTGCTGTAAAATCATTTTTTATAAATTAAAGTTATTATTTTTTAGCTTGTAGTTAACTATAACTTAAAACTTAAAATAAAACAAGTAAATCCAAGTAAATTTTAATTTATTAAAAAAGTATACACTTACATTAAAACAATTTGCATCAGAATAAAAAATCTAAAAATTTAGATGAAAATTTAAGTTATGGAATCTTTAGATTTTTTAATGTTTTAGAACAAACATGAACGATTTTTTATTTTTTTATTTTTTACCCAATCCATGTTCCTAAAGTTGAGTGGGCCACTTTAGTCTAGGAAACTACTTCTTATATTGGTTAAAACCTTCTCTCAACTCTAAAAGAGGATTGTAACAAGTAGAAACATGTTGATATACATAAATCATATAATATATTTTATAATTCTTCTTTATAAATTGAAAAAAACTTTATAGCTTTCGAATTTAACTGAAAGTTAATTGAAATTTTGAAATTGTTACCGAATTCAACTGAAAGCCGAATTTCTATTTCAATTTTGACACCGAAGTCGAAGCCAAAGTTAACTTTGCTTTTTAATAAGCTTTGTAATCTGAATTTTAACGAATATTCGGCGGTCCTTAACTGTAATCCATTTGCTCTTGTTTGTGAATCAGTAATCAAATTGTTTTTTCTTTTTAAATGTTGGACCTGCTCTTGCTGCCAACCTTCAACCTTAGTCACATCGACGAAATGTTGCTTCTCTTTTTCTTTTCTACAAATACTATAATGGGCACTGCTCTAAAGAGCAAGCGTCTCTTGCGCCATCTAATAAAATTTATTCCTGTGTTACTCGTCATTCAATCAAGTCTCATCCTTTTTCTGTGACTGTTCTTATGTGCTTCAAAAACTCTTATTCCTCTAGTTTTTTCCCTCAAACATTTCGAACAGTTCTTTGGAATTCGCTTCCTTCATCTTGCTTTTCTCATTATATAATTTGCAATCTTTTAAGTCGTCTGTCAATCGTTAACTTGCTCTACAATCTTTAAGTTGAGTATAAAATTTTTTTGGAAAAATTCATGTTACTGGTAGATAAGGTTGCTTCTCTGTGTATATTTTCCAAATATTTTTAATGCTTTTTAGTTCTGATGGCAGAAACAATTTTCTAGATTTGATTCTGCTGTAATGACTTTTTATAAATTCTACCACAGCATTACGTTTATCACCAAATTTGTGACTTTTTTTATCACGACCTCTGTATTCTTTTCTTGGATTTCCATTTTCAAAGAAATGTTTAGCAATAGTTTTCAAAATATCGCTAAACATTTTAGCAACATTTTCAAAACGTGTGGAAGAAGGGGGTGGGGTTGTTAGTCTTAATAAGCTTGGGTTGGAAAAATTTACAAAAATTAATCAAAGCCCCCTCCCGTGTATTAGGCACCTAATAGTAGATACAAACAAATTGCTTTGATTAAAACATTTACTACTTCTAATTTCAAAAAAAAATTTAAATACTTTCTTTTTACTCTATTTTTTATTTAGTAAGATGGTTGTTTACTTTTTCTCTAACAGCTAAAATACTTTCTGCAAATTCAGCCATTTTGTATTAAGTGATAAATTATAAATAATTTGATGTGCCAAGAAAAAGTGTGCTGATATAAATAATAATAACAAGTATAAACAGACCTTTCATTGGTTGTTAAAAAAATATAACGTCACTTATCGTTCATATGATTGGCTTCTGATTTTGAAGCTTTAACCCAGTTCGACTTAATATGTTTAGAAAAAGTTTTAATATTTCCCTTAGATGTTTTAGGACTATGAGCCTTTTAATAGAGCTAATATTTAAATAGATGTATATAGAATATATATAGAATATGTATAGTCCAGTATATAGAATTATAATAGATTTCAGTATATAGAATGAGGAAGTGTAATTAACTCAAAAAAAAATTTTGTGACAGGGTGTTTTGCAGATGGGCTCCTCATATATTAAAAAAAAAAAAATTTAATGAAACTCATAGATCTTTTAAATTATCAATTCATCTCATAAATATTTATTTTTAACTTTTCATTATATACTTATTTCAAATATTTATTTATTTTTACAATAAAAATATACTGATATACAGTATACACATAAAATATAGAGTCAAAGCAAAAATTTGGTCCAATAGTAAAAATTTTATGGACTCAATGATATTGTTTATAAATAGGTAATACCACTAATCTAAAATATAACACAATATATATTAAAATAAAACTTTTGAAAAAACAAAAAAACAAAATCTAACTAGATATTAGCTGTATAAAAAATATAAAACCAATTTAATTATACTGAAACATACTTTGTCTAATTTAAATATCTAAATATCAATTTAGACTATTGTGAGAACCAAAGCAACCAAAATACTTACATTGCACAATAACAGAAGTATTCAAGGTTTGAAAACCCAGTTCATTTTTTGCAAGACATTTATAAAATCCAGTGTCATTTATTTGAATATTTATTATTGTAAGAGTAGTCTGGACATTTGTGTAAAAGTTATTTTTAACTGATATTGGTACACTTATAAAATATCTGGAATTATTTTGTAGGACATTCCCATCTTTATCGAACCAAGTAATTAGAGCAGGTGGCTTTGATGATGTTGAACAAGTCAAACGCAACTCTTTTGTTTCAATCGGAGTTGATTCTAATGACAATAATGTATTTTGCGGTCTGTCTAAATAACAAATTGATAACATATTACAATTTATTAATTATGGTAGTTAACTACAAACAAATATTTACAATTAAAAATAATTACATATAAAATTTGAATGATTCAAGACTTTGTACAGCAAACTGAAAGTTTTATTTTATTAAATAAAAAATTTTAAAATTATTTTACTAAGATTAAATTATGAAAAGAAGAGAATGGGTGAATGAAAAGAAGAGAATGGATGACAGAAAGGGTGAACAATGCCCATAAAATCAATTTTAATCTTTTTAATTGAATAAAACACTCAAAATTTGTACTTTCAAAATAAATTTTAAATAAAACAGAAAATTATGATTTGTATAACTCAAATGTGACATCATTGTGTCATCATCGTGTCATTATTGTAGGCTTTTAAGCTAAAAAGCTTTTTTAGCTTCTTTATACTAAAAAATGTTCAAATTGTAACTAGTCAGATTTTATACTTTAAAAAATATATATTTCAAGAAAATAACGAAAGAAATTTTGCAATTTTCATGTAACCTAAGTTAACAAAAACATAATAAACTTGATATACATGAAAAACTTAAGAAAAATCTCTTTATGCGGCATGGGAAAATAAAACATGGTCATGATATATGTTTTTAGTTTATTTTTTGAAGCTCAATCATTAAAAAAAACTCCTGAGGGTATACCATTACAGGCTTGGACAGCATGCAGCCACAACCTGTAACTGACCACGCTCACAATATCTTTTCTTTACAATTTGACCACGGCGGTTTTAATAATTTAAATGCTGTAAAAAAAATTGCTACCTTACTAATAACTTTTAATCGTTGATCTTTTCTAAAGTTTTTTTTTTTACACAAAGACTTTAAATAAAATAAAAAAGTAATTATAGTAAAATAAATGTATTTTTAGTAGATTAACAAATGTTATATTTAAATTTTTTTATGAAGGTATATTATTTTTTACGATAAATTTAAATTTAATAATTTGTTTAAAACTATTTTCCCATGTCTTTTAAAAATTTTTTAAAAGATAATTTTTAAATTGCTTTAAATTATGAATAAGTTTAATTAAATCTTCCACTGCAATGGAATGATTTAATTGCTTTATTTTTGCTTCTATTTTTACAAGAATTATTCAAAACTTTTTTTTTAATCAATAAAAAAATTGTATTTATATTACTTAAAAGTGTTATATATATTATTTTTAAACTGTATAAACATTTATTTTTTCCTAAAAGTTGAAAAAAAAAAAAATTTTAAATACTGTAGTCTATTTAATTTTTAATCATTTCATGCTCTGATTCAATCATTAGAGGTAATTTGTAAAAGCGTTTTGCCTAACTTTAACAAAAGAAAGTTTTGCCAAACTTTTCAAAAGAAGTAATTTAGACAAAATTAAATATGTAACAAAAATTATTCTTCGCTTCGAGTTTGAGTTTTTTGAGTTTTATTTTAGTGCATATATATTTTCTTTTTTGCAAGGAAATGTTTTATTTTATTTTATTTTTTCAATTTTCTTTCTAGTTTACTTAGCCTTTCTTTTTTTAACGCATTTTTAAAATGTTTAAAAATTATCTAAACATCTAAACAGTCGTGGTCAAGATTTCAAAAATTAAAATCATTTGCATGGTTAGCAATAGCACTCGATCACACTTCATTCCTGTCCAAGCCTGCCATTACTCTAGGACACAAAAATAACACCCTAAAAAAGTCAGTAATAACTTTTTTTAGATATGTATACATGGTCAAAATTCATATTTTTAGGGTTTTGCGATATAACTCTAGGACACCGAAAGAGCACTTTAAAGCATGCAATTAAAAAATATTTCAGGATTCTTATATAAAGTCATAATACATGTTTTTATGTCAATTAGATAGGACTTATCAGTTAAAAATATTCACAAGATCATAAAATTTATCAAGGACACAAAACACACACACACTGAAAAGCACAAAAAAAAAAAGAAAAAAAAAGGAAAGTTATTAACTTTTCTAAAATAATTACATGGTCACAATATGTTTTTGAAAATTTTTTTTAAACTTTATGAATTAAAAAATCATTTAATAACTGTAAGACACTAAAAAAGAAACTATAAAGATCCAGCTGTAAAAATATTTTTGCATAATTATATTAGTTCATGTTTTTAAGCCAAGTTGCCAAGCTTTATCCACTAAATTTTTTTTTTAATCTTACAATATCTAAAAAATACTTGAACACTATAAATTATAGTGCAATATAAACACTATAAATTATAGTATATGTCCTAGCATTTATTAGTTACTGTATAATTTCATAAAAGATGCAATTGTAAAAGCTTGACTTAAATGTTTTATATATTTCATGTTTGATTTAATTAGTTATTGTCAATTAAAATATAGTTATTATATGATGCTGCAAGTGTCAGATCTAAAGTGCCCCATAAAAATTTTAAATAAATAAAAATAAAAAAATTATTAAATGTCAAAATGACTTAAAAAACTTAATTTAAACTTAAATTAAGATTAAAAGCTTTTAAATTTAATTTAATTTTAATAATAAATTTAAACAAATAAAATTAAATTTAACAATTAACTTAATTAAATCTTAAATACATTGGACTTGAAATAAACACAAAGTTTAAAACCAACTGCAATATGTTAACACAAGCAACATTATTATGGCAATGTTTTGTCCACTTTACATTCTAAAACAAGAAAGTATTGGATTGAGGGAACAGCAATACTCTAACTAAGAGCCTACTCAAAGGCCACTCATGATTCAAATGGGGAAAGAGTCAAATAAAAATATCAAATCTTTTTATTTCACAAAGACATACACTGTATGAAAGAAGATGGAATTATTGTTGAGCATAATGAAAATCAATACCAAGTTAAGGTAAACACTGTCACTCATATTTTGGACAAAAAGGATTTAAATATTTATCAAGGTCTTGAAGGTTGAATATTGTGATCTTTGCGACCTTTTAAAAGAATAATGTGAAAATATACAAACAGTTCAGGATGGTTTCATCCTGAAAAACAGTGATGTTAAGTCCATTCAACAAATATTTCTTGACTTAGTAAAAGTAGACGGAACCATTAAAAAAAAAGGATTACGACATTCGACACGATCAAATTACAATTTGGACTACATGTTCAAATGTTAGGTCCTTTCAGGTTTTACATGGTTTGCTCAGGAGGTTTGATCATTTTATGAAGGTAGTTGTCCACATGGCGGCAGGTGTCTTAACTTAAAAAGACTCTAAGATAAACAAAAACACAAAATTGCTGAAAGAAGGAAAAAAAAACTAAAAACTATCTATATAACTATATATAACTAAAAAAGGAATATACTGAATAAGGGGGAGGGGGAAACAACAACTGGAAAAGTTGCCAGAAAACTTTTAAACAATAATGTACTGCAAAAGGTAATTATAGACCACATGTCAAGTCAAATAGACTGCAAACTAGTTAAAAAGTATGGGTTGCTTCTTTCCACAATTCTAAGAGCAATGTCATCTGGCAAAAAAATTAAAATTGAGATATACAAACAAATGTGTCTGGAGCTTGCTTCTACTAGAATTTTATTGGGTAAGTATATCCCGAATGGTATGAGGATATTGAGGGATTTGGTATCCCTGGGCACAAAATGCTGAAAAGTTTCACTTTTAGCAATGGCGTGAAAGCTGAATCCATCAATAGCTGATAGTTGATTCAAAAATTCAGTTAATAGCTCTTGCTGTTGTTGAACAACAACAACAGCAAAAGCTATTATAATGCATTTAAGCTCTATTTGTGATTTTCTTTGTAATGGTTTTTGGATAAAAATCTTCTTCATTTCCTATAACTTCAGGGGTTCCTCAAGTTCTATCCTTGACCCTATACTTTTTTTAGTTTACATTAACAATCTCCCAGAAGTTCTCACATCTAATGTTCACTGATGATACTATCATTCATTCTTGATAAGAAGCCAACACTCTCTGATTGCTTGGAGAGGGAATTGGAGCTTGGAAAGGATCTTACTGCTACTGCAGGGGCTCTCAGTGGCTGGAAAACTTTAACTCAGATAAAACTCAACTTTTTCAGCTAACAGTTATTGCAACAATCTATATCTTCTTATATTTATGAATGATAATCAAATTGATAAATCATCTATTTACTTCCATTCTTTTTTGAAAACCATATATCTAACCGATTGCAAAATTAGCATATGCTAATTTTGCAATCAGTTAAGAGGTGAGCATAATAAAGATTACATCTCTTTATAGTGCTCACCTCTTTTATACTCAGCACTCTAATCTTTATCTCTATGAATCTCTAATCGATTCTTGTATTGAAAACTGTTGCCATATTTAGAGCGGGTCTTTGAATGATGACCTTTCTCTTTGAGACAAGATGCAAAAACACATGTGAAGTGAAGTGTTTTTGTCTAAGAGAATTCTTATCACGAATGTATTTAAAATTTTTTGTTTCTTATTACTTCAATATTGTGTAAAGTTTGTTTGACCTAATTTATTTATGAACATTAATTATGTTTACAAATATCGTACTGGTAAGTGATAAAATCTATCTATAAACTGTTTACAATCTTTATTAAAAATAGTTCAATAAAGGGATAAAAATAAATAAATAAATTGTGATAAACAAACAAAAAACTATGCATAAGATTGTTCTAAGAAATAAATTTTAAGAAAAATAAAATTTTTTTCAAATTCCAATTTAGATTTCATCAAAAATTTTAGTTACATTTGTTTAAATGATTTCAATGTACTTTAAAATACGCTGATGATGCAACTTAACTTATAACAATGTAAATTCCAAAGCTGAGTTAAAGTTTTATTAACATTAAGTGCTTTTGTTGCCCAAGCCAATCTCATAACAAGGCCTGGAATTTGATAAAAAAGGCAGCAATTAAGCCATTTTTAAAATATATTTTGATTTATAAATATTTTGATATTAACAATATTTTGCTGACCTATTGTGGTGAGCGTCATCAGGTAATGATAAAAAACAATAAAAGAATACATTAAAAAA